ATTCACATGGTGCTTTTAGAGTTCTCTTTAGCATTAGTGTGAAAAGGGATTCTAGTGAACGTAGGCCCTTGCTTGCAGCTTTTGATTAATGGTATGGGAAGTGGGGGGTTAATCAGTTTAAATATCATGTTACTGTCTTTTCACTGTCATCATTAATACTCCTGAAGTGTTGTGAGAATAAATGCTGTAATATTTTTTAAATATGTGAAACTGGCAGTGATTAAATCTACTTAAGTAACAGGAAACAGAATTAAAAAAATCTATGACAACAACAATGGGTAAAAGAAATACCTATATTTTAAATAATTTCTTTAGTTAAATTATGTTCTAAATAGCGGATAACAGTATTTTTTTTTTCCTAAAGACGTGATCTGCTATACTAGGAAATGACGAATTCTGGAAGTGCTAGGTTTGTGCGGGCAGCACAAAACCTCTTAAGACATAGTTGAGTTGTTTGATATCAGTTGTGGCTATAAAGTTGTGGCCAAAGACAGTGAAATGAGCATAAAACAAGTACTGCACTATTCTTTTAAAATGATGGATCAAATGTTGAGGTTGTGGTAAGTGCCTTTATGAATGGATCCCTGAGACCAAACACAGCTCACAAGCCTGTTCCTGAAAGAAAAGAAGACTGAAAGATGAACTTTCAGCCAAATCTCCTGTTTATGGTCCATTGTTTTCACTAAATCCCTGGGTAAGAAAAATGATTGGAGATGTGACTCTTATTGTTGAATAAGGGACTTTTACTCTGCGTTTGCACAGATCTTCAGAAGTGTTAAAGTATAAAGTGAACTAGCTGAGGATCCCAAGGTAAATGATATTTTAAAAAAGGGCAGGGGGGAGGAAGAAGGGGAGGTATATTTGAATTACAGATTAGCATTTGGCCTTGCCATTTAAGTGTGCCACTTGCTGTGACCCTTTTATGTTTTCACTTAATCAGTTTAAGTTCTCAGGCAGAAGAAAACTAGCTTGACAGTGAATTTGTAATAAACAATGAAATAATGATGCTCCCTTTCTTGTAATAGATAAAGTATAAGTTTAATTTTCAGAAGGATTTCATGCAAGATTTCCCCTAATTATTTTGGATTTTTCGCTTAGAGTAATGTTGAGTTTAATTTAATTGAGGCATTCTGAAGGAAAGGCTGCCAGCACTAATAACCCTACTGAGCTTATTAGATTTGGACTAGCCTGTAGCAAAAGCAGATTTACAATGACTGACATAATCCAAGACCCCACACTAGCAATTTAAAAGCGAAGTATCATCCTGCTTTTCCAAATTCAAACTGTGAAATAGCATTACAAGGTTTAACTGTAACCAAGTAAGAAACATTTCCTTCCCCTCCTCCATAAGGAGTTCAACTCATTTCCTAAATTTTACCCTCTAAAAGTTGTTGGGAAAGTTCTCCCATAAGTTAGCAATAAAGTTACCAATATAGTGTTGTTCACACATGCAGCTGATACGAGTTACTAGTTTTGGTCATGAAAGTTGAGATTTTGAGGTGATAGTTTTAGTTTGGAATCTAGCCTGTCTAAAGATCTAAGTAAAAAGTAGTGTCATGTTCATTTGTTATATTCCTCCCAATCCCTTTAATTCTACATAAGATTTTTTTAGAACATAAAATTTTTATTCAGATAGTGCAGAGTTACTGCTTATTGGCTGAAACAGAGGAGTGGCAATCAACAGTATGGGATATTCCCCATATGGAATATGGGGAAGTTACGTTTTTTTTTTTTCAGATTACTGTATCTTTAAAGTGGCTTAGCTTTAGAAGCAGCTGTAAAAAAGGAGGCTACATAAAAGGAGGTATGCACTGCTTTCATGTGGAAGTTTTGCTCTTGTTTTTGTTTTCCCCTTTGCTTACTTTCAAATTCTAATGACTTTTATAGTACGTGGTTGCTCTTGTGTGAAGCAGGCATTAGAAAGCAGTCTTTCACAATTTTGGATCTCTTTTACATGTCCTTTTGGGTCAGACTTTGGCCACAGAATTGTGGCAGGGACTGTACCCAGTAGGAAGAATCTCTTGCTGGTGACAGAAATTGGTTGCATGTCCTGCATCTCTGCCTCTATTGCTGTGCAGAGGTAGAAGAGAAGGGCGAGAGCACTCCGTGCTACCACTCCTGCCAAGGCTCTACCAAATTTGCCTTTGTTAAATATTTTAAGCTTAATGTATAACAATGGGTAGATTTAGGGTGCTTAAGAGTGAAACAGACTCCGAGAATCAGGGCCCCCGTATCAGGTTTTCCTTGGCACAGAAATGAGCTCCAAAAAGTTTGTATCTGGCTTTACTGAGTGTATGACCCTAGGCAATTCCACATTCCTCTGTTCTTACAGAATTCTAAAAACTATGGAAAAAAAGTAAAAAAGAGAAGTTGCTATGTAAATATGCCATGTTATTTTATAGCAGGTCAGCTTCTCTCCTATTGAGAGAGGAAGGCTGGAATGGCAGGAGGTGACACTGAACATGCTTGGAATTATTTATCTGCCTACTCTGAATTGCTGAGTCCGAGTCTGTTTACAATCGCACTGACTAAAGGATGTCTCTCCAATCTGATGCCATCAAATAGCTTAGGCTTACAACTGAACTTGTTTAAATGAAAAATAATAGGCTTAATGACTAGAGTTACAGTATTTGTAATAACACTGGAATCCTACTTAAATGTACATTCAAGTTGAAAGCTACTGCTTATAAGGAGACGTAAAGGGATTGTTTCTCTAAGCAATTTGCCTCCTTTTCTCTGCTCATCTTTTTGAGTTATACGGTATCATTTGGTGCTGAGCTCAGGGCATAAATAAACTTGAGGGGTGATTTCTAGATATTGCTATAGGAATTCTTCAGAGGAATGGTTAAACTTGAAACGGCTGAAGGCACCTTTGAAAATCCTTCAGACTCCTCAGGAAAAAAGTGCCACTGAAAATGGACGTAGGTGTCATTCTGTCTTTTTTCCCTTTTTTTTTTTTTTCTTCCCCAGTGAGCTGCTAAAGAGAAAATACAGTTCCACCATGTTCTTACTCTGATATTTGTCTTGGAGACTAGAATTGATGATGGCAAGCTTATTCTTGTTCTCTCTGTGGCTATTTTCTGTGATTCTGTGGTACAGTCTGAATTCCCTGTGTCCTTTTTGTCATAGCTTTCCTCAGGTTGTGTGCACGGTTTTCAGTAGTAAGTACTTCGAGCAGTTGTCAGCATTATTACAAGAATTTTGACATAAATCTTCTATAGTTTCTAGCAATAAATACCTACAGGACATTTTTTTTTCATTTATGAGCACAGGGGTTATTCAAAAGCCTAGCCATAGTATCAGTATTGTTAACATTAATGCTTCTGTTCTTGATCGTATGGATGACCTGCAATGGGAATGACCATCAATCTGTGGGATGTCTTGTATAGTGTGGTTTTAAAAATGTGCTATATTCCCTTGGGAATATATATGTGTTGTGTGCTGTGTAGTTTTCCTGTCATGATTTAGCAATGGCAACATACTAAATTATGACTGTCAGTTTTCCTGTTGGTTGCTCATTAGTTGGTTACTAATGAGAATTAGTAATGTGTGCATAGAAAAGTGCAAATGGCAAAGTGCAAATCTCATTCTAAACTAGATATATCTAAAGCAGCTGATGATTCTAGTCTGTATCAAGTAACATCAACTTTTCAAGGGAGATTTCTTGGGTTCTGCTGAAATTTGACATCTAAGCTATATCACTCCTGAGATCAGAAAACAAACACAAATACTCATGAACCTGTCAAAACAGAATTTTACTATGACTGAACAGATTAACAAGTGGTAACTCTTTCTTTCCATTTCAGTTTTTCAGCCAGTACTCACCAGTACTTATGGCTGCATTTCAAAAATAAAATTGCAATGCCTTGCACAGCTGTAATAATAATTTTCCATCGTTTCTCATGGTTACATTTCTTCATCCATGGGGGCTGGGGGCTCCTGCTTCCTCCATAAAGGTTTCAAGGCTGCTGTGGCAAGACTGCTTGATGCAAGAGGGCAGGGAATGGAATTTGTCCTTTTATTTTTTATTCTGTTTCAGCTGCATTCTTAGGATAATTCGTGGTCTATATACTAAGGGAGTTTGGATGTAGAATTGCAGTGCTACACCAAGTCTTTCCTGGGCTTATTTCTGGCATGCTGTTCTCCTGCTGAGGTAGTAGAAAACTTTACAGGCTTTAGGGTTCTGGAGTGGTTGTTAGGGACAGAAAAGCTTCCACCAATTGATATTAGGTGGATCTGTGTTCCCATGCAACAGATCTCATTCTTAGGAATTGAGGCAATTACTGATTGAACTTCTTTTCCACAGACAAAAAAAAACTCTAAGAGGAAAAAATGTATCATTCTAATCTCAGTTGCAAGTGACACACACAAAAGAGTTTTACCTAGTGCTTAGCTAGAATATTAATGAAACTACATTACTGATGGCTAAATGCTAGGTTGGGATTAGGTAGACTGCCAGTTGACAGAGACCAGAGACAGACTAGGAGAAAAGAAGGTAACTGGACAGTTTGCACCATCATTATAATGTAAAAAATATAGAGCATCTTCCAGAGATGTGCGAAAGTCATCCTAATGGGTAGGACAGTCAATATTGAACACACTAGATATTCGGGGAACGATGGTGCAAGCCCCTTTTGGGGAGAAGCAGGGAGTGAGGTACAGCGAGCTGCACTGGTAGCCCCCTTGCCCCTCTCAAGATTGGAGTCATGTTTGATAACACAGTTACAGCAGGGCAGGGGGCACTTATCTAGGGACGGGAGGAAATCCTCCTCTCAGCAAGCTGGAAGGGATCAAGTTCCTAAACAGTGAATCAGCTCCAAGTGGGGCTGTATCCTCGTTCCCAGGAAGCGTGGGGGAGAAGGAGGGGGGAGTTTAAAGCAGAGCTTTCCAGAGGGTTTCTTACTGAATTATGTTTTGTTCTCCTAACAACTTGTTCTGACCCAGCCTATGTACTGCACAGCAGCAGCAAAATAGCCCGAAAGTGTATTTGCAAAAAGAGCGGAGCTAGCTCTGATTCGGTTGTTTACCATCAATCAGACTGTTGCTTGGCAGGGAGTGGATGATTATGAGCCTGAACAAGCTGCAGAGGGGCAGGAAGAGAAGTGGAGGCAGCATTCTTCCTATTTAAAGCTGCATCCCCTGGAAGGAGAGTTTGCAGACGGTGCTGGAGCTGGTGCTGAAAAAAAGGGCACACAGACTTTGTCCTGGAACTGATGCTGAGAAGCAGAGCGATTCCCCAGCTGGCTTCATGGTGCTAAAATAACCACACTTTTTTTTTTTTTGCACTTTTTGTTGCCCGGGAGGATACATGTCTAATATCTAGGCATGATGGCAGTCTGGGTACAAACGAGAACTTTTTTCATCCTTGCTGCTTTATTAGGGCGCTTTGTAACCATAAAAGCACAAGAGGAGGAAGAATACGATGGTGGTGAGTTTCTCTTTTCTTTCCCTTGGTGTGCAGGGTGCTTGTGGCATGATTTGGACAGCAAGTGGAATGGAAAACCTTTGCGATACAAGAGTTACAAGATTTTTTTGGTTTTATACATTGGGAAGGGGACTGAGAGGTTTCTGTTTCGGGAATATAATGGGAAGGCATAGGGAAGCCTTTAAGTTAAATGCAAAATGTTGCTGTGGGGCTCCTGGGAGCAAACCCTGCTGCTGCCTGGCATTAGCAGCGTGTGGGGCTGCCGAGACCGAAAAGTTCCCAACAAAAGAAATCGCTTCAGATGAGACTCAGCGCAGGCTCGGGGGCTGGAGACGAGCCCGAACAGCCCAAGCCGAGAGAAGTAAACACAGAAGTGCTGCAGGGTGGAGTCTTTTTTGCCCTGAACTGCATCTGTTTTATTACATTCTTTGTTTTAGAGAAATGCAAAAAATGTTTTTTTCTGTTTTCATTTTCTTTTGTTTTCCTTTTCCTCCTCCTCTCTTTCCTTCTCCCTCGCCTTCCCGCTTTCTCCCTCTTACTGTTCAGTCCCCAGGGACGGAGTTTGATGGAGTTTAATGGAATACAGGCTCACTGTCTTGGTACTTTCCCACCCTTCCCACTATTTCTGAACCACTTCTGAGCAGTGGTTTAACAGGCTATGTGAAGGCAGGATGGCTGGCAAGCTGTATACCTGACTTGTGTAACTTTGAGGCTTTATTTTTATATCCCTTTTTATTTAATATCTTTTTTAACCCCTGTAAGCTAAATCGATAGGCAAGGAAAACGGGTAGCGCCTGTACTCTTTCTTAAGTCTAGATGTTCTTCTATATTTTGGTTTCCTGAAATGTGAAAAGACTGGCTGTAGGAGATTCTCTAGCTTTGGCACTCCTGAACGTGTTTTTGGGGTTTCTTTGGAAACATTCTGGGACATTACTTGGAAAAGAAGCCAAAGCTTCTAGGTAAATTAAGACCTAATATTGTTCGCAATTATTGCATATTTTCAGGAGTTTTATTTTCTTATAACTGAACTTCTCTTCTAATATGCTGCATTGCACAACTGAGGAGGATTGAAATCCTCATGCATAAGATGGTGCAGTAGTTCTGATAATGCTATTCTGCAAATAAAAATGAGATTATCCTGGCTGTGCACAGCTGTGTAGGAAGTCCTACAGAAGGGCCCCTTGGTATAATCTTAGGAGAATAACTCCCTCTATTTCCATGGATGAGACATATATTTTCCAGGTATGTATATAACCAAAAAGAACATTTATGAAAATATTGGCTTCCTTTTTCAGTATCTATTTAATAAAAGAAGATGGCTTGCTTTTTTGCTTTTTTAAAGATAGCTGATATCTGTGGGGTTAAATTATTATGTGTCATTTATTAGTTTGTTGCTATTATGGAAATTATGGGATAACCCAGTAACACCACCTTCTGGGATGTACTTCCCATATACTGATGGCTGGGGAAAATGTGAGAGGTACACAGTCTGCCAGGGAGTAAAATATGCTGTAAGAAATTAAGGACATCTGTTTACAGTTATTTCACTTATTCATTTTTCTGTTTGAGAATGTAGTAGCTTTTGTCTGCCATACATAGGAGCTGCTTCTTCTATGTGCCTTATTTAAAAAAAAAAAAAATCTCAAAACAAAAAAGACCCCCCTCCCCAAACTATTGGAGTATTGACAGGGAAGGTGCATAATGAGGAGGAGGAGAATATATCCTGCACATAGGCCTGGATTAACTGTATAAACAATTTTTTTTCCTGTTCAGATTCAGTTCCTTCCCGAATGTGGTGGTGGTGTTCTTGTTTTTGTTTTGTTTTCCCCCTTAGTCTTCAGTTTAGTACTAACTTGTGCAGAGGTCCAAGATGAGTGTACGTTGTTTTGTACTGCAGGTAATTTTATACACCTTGCAGCCTTTGCACTTTTGCACCTCTAGTTGGTCAAATATGTTATTTGAGTGTAGGTGCCACAGCAAACAAATTTCAGAGCTCTCTGGAGAGGGAAGGAAAGCACTTTAGAAGGCTTAAATTAGAAAATATGTAAAACACTTTTACCCATCATTTTTCATTCCAACACTGAAAAAGTAAATATTAGTTCTTGCAAACCACAGTGAAAAGCAGAAGTAGCTTTTGCAAAAGTATCTTATGGATTTTTTCACCACAATGAGTAGGAGTTCTATGCCAGGTAGTGTATTAATAGGTAAGTGCAAAATAATAAAGCAGGTAAAATGATTTTCAGAAATGTTTAATACAAGAACTCCAGTGCTTCCCTCCAACCAAGCATACTCCTTCATAATTGGTTTTGGCACTTATTGCTGGTTGAGTCCTTTTTAACTCTTGCCAGTTTCTGTATTCATTTTTTTCTCTTGGACCCATTGCAGATTGATCAGTTTTTCTCAAGAATGCTTGGCCAGTTGCTCTGTATAATACACCTACTTAAAATGCACACAAAGGCATGCAAGGCAGATGATTTCAAACAGAACAGCAAAATAACTGTAGGCCATCTAGATGCTTTAAGTGTCTCTCTTTAAATGTCATTTGGGAATTGTCATTTAGGAATGAAGTCAGAAAAGCCTAGAAAGAACAAAAGATCCTGCTTCTGCATTAGGTTCTTTGTAGATGTGGAGTTGGTTCAGAAGAGCAAGAGGGTCAAGAGATGCTCACAAGATAGCTGGAGTTGTGCCCTGCATAAGCACTGAATACTTGGAGACCGCTGTCATTTCGTGTAGGAGTTTTCATGCACAGAATCGTCTTTCCTCTTCCCTTAGGAATCAGGATAGAGGAAATTTCTGGTAGAACTGGTGCACACTTCTGAGCAGTTGCTTTCCCATCCACAAGTACATGTGGATACATTTTCAAATACGCTTTTCTTTTAAAAGCAAACAAACAAAAAAACTTCTGATGAACTCAGTGAAAGATCTCTCCCTTGATTCACTTGGATCAGACCCATGGAAATTGTATCCCTGTGGAGGATTTGTGAACTGCATCCAAGCATGGCAGTGATGCCCTATTCCCGTGACTTCCTGCGTTTCTCACTGCAGTCCTGTGTGTGCCAATAGACTCTCATCAGTTTCTTCAACATGCCCTTTTCTGCATATATCTTGGTAATTTAGGCATCTGCATCCCACTTCTTTAATGTTAGGCCTACTTCAGCTGAGACCACTAAGAGACCTGATACTGATTTAAAAATAGTTGGGCTGATTTCCCTTGTTCTGCTGAGTGATTAAGCCATAATAAATAAGGGTCACAGCATCTGTATTCATGATCCATTCTGTCCTCTTCTTTGAATTCTGGAGACCTTCCACTTTGTCTGGAAACCACTCAGAGGAGGAAGGAAAATGGTGTAGTGGAAACAGGAATGACTGAGCTGGTAGAATGGAGGCTAGTAAATATGTCCATAATCCCTTCATTGGTATTTGGGACATTAGGGAGGAAAAATGCTGCAGAGTTTCCCCTCCACGATAGGTGCTGGGGAGGATGTCCTCTCCAGGATAAGTGCTGAGAATTAGTTATGAAGGAAGTTTGCTGTATCTATGAAAAAGAAGGTTGTATTCTTGAATATTTATAGAGTCTTTAAAGCACCTAAGGAGAATGATGTGATAGAGGAAAAAAACAACAAAAACAAACAAACAAAAAACAAACAAACAAAAAAAACCCTCAGCATTTTCAGCTCTCTCAATTCTATTGAGCATCTCATGATACTTGATTTTTGTTTTCCTGAAAAGATCCAGATCCCAAGATCATTTGCTTATGTGTACTCTGCTTTCTTAGAGTTGACTGTATGCATATGTGCATGTAGGTATTTCTATTTGTGGGTTTAATCCTTGCAAGGAACTTGAAAAAAGAAATGATTATGGCTCTAAAAATCAGAAAAAGAGAATCCTTCATTTAAACAAAATGTTGGCGTTCTCTGGGGACTGACTCATGATTTTTAAATATTTGTGGTTGGCTCCCCAGCTTGTAAAAATGTGGGAAGGAGATTCTACACAGAAATTTCCACAAGGAGAGCCCTCCGGAAGGCTTTTTTTCCTACTGAGTGGACTCTAGCTCAAAATTATGGAGTCCATAATTGAGGTTCACACAAGCTGTACACACACACTTGAGTTTTTTTTCTTTAGTAGATAATTTGTGCTTACAGAATAATTGTGTGCTCTGGTCATTGCTGCAGGATTTTTTTGCCACATTGTTTATAAATATAGATTATTGCCATAGAAACTAAATGATCATTTCATCCTCTCAATCTCCTCTCAGTCTCACTCTCATAGAATTTTTGGTATTCTCCCAGTTTATTTCTTGGTGAAATCCAACTTCGCAATTTATTCCAATATGGTGAAATTTTATTACTTTGGGTTGATCTGTTCATGTAAAACACTGTAATATCAATCCTGCTTAATAATAATGTTTATTAACATAAAATTATGTTTTTGACATTTATGTTAACTTTTTATAACTTTGCTAACTTTCAGAATTCTAAAAAAAAAAAAAAAAAAAACACCTCTGCCAAATCCCTGAGTTTATTATAAATTCACCTGTGAATACAGTACTTAGAAACATCATCTGCTATTCAAGTGGTATCTAACCAAATTCCTGTCTGGGTTAAGTGAGTCACAGGAAGTTACGTGATTTGTCTGTGGTTAGGATTATTAGGTCTGGTCAGTTCAGCAGACTACTTTTTGTGAGAAAAGAAATGCAAGGATTCTTGCGTGTACGTTTAGGGAACCAATGACTCTGAAGGTGGATCTTCATCCAACATTATGATCCTTTAAGAGAACTAAACAGATGTTCATGGCCTGTGTGCAAATATTTTTCAGTATACTGAGAAAGGCAATGATCTCAGTGCCAAAAAATAATACAGTAATAATAATAAAGTGGAAATTCCAGCCGGAGACATGTGATCTCTCCTTATATGTACACTGATTGTTTCCACCTTATATGTCTTTGTGGACTTGCTTTTTTTTTTTTGTGTGTGTGTAAGGTCCTGATGATAGAAGAACTTCTG